GGGATATGTATTTTCATTTGAGCCATACCCATTCAACACTTTTCTTTCGTATTTTTTATTTCTGAGTAGAGTCTTGTTAGCCTGCAGCTCTCATCCCCCAGTCTCAGCCTCCTAAGTATCTGGGATTATAGGATACACCACCAAGCCCAGCTGCTTGCCTCTTATATTATAAAAACTGCTTCTGTAGTATGACTTTAACAAAAACTTCTAGTTGAATTATTTTTCACTCTTCGGTGGCTGGTTTTGATACACACTCTAGTTGATGATACATTGTACTCTGTTTATGCAATCTACATAGCTCTTTGGACGGACATTTATTCTGTCAGCATTTTCTTAGTCAATAGAGTTGGTCTACCAGTTAATTTAGTTGCTCTATTGCCTTCATTACTTTGTACTCTTTTTTATTTCCAGTCCTGGGGCTTGAACTCAGGGCCTAGGAACTGTCCTCCAGCTTCTTGTACTCAAAACTAGCAGTTTACCACTTGAGCACAGCTCCACTTCTGGCTTTTTCTGTTTATGTGCTACTGAGGAATTGAACCCAGGTCTTCATGCATGCTAGGCAAGCACTCTACTACTAAGCCACATTCCCAGCCCTCTTTTTTTTTTTTAAAGCAGGGTTTTATTATATAATAGCCCAATCTGGCCTTGGACTCACTCACTCACATTATTGTTAAGATTGTCCTCAAACCCACATCTTCCTACTTCAACCTCCTGAATGTTAGGAATTTTTTGTGTCTGAGATAGTTCAGGCTGGTTTTAAACTCCTAGACTTAAGAAATCTTCCTGTCTTAGCTTCCTGAGTAGCTTTGACTATAGGGCTTTAGGTTCTTTTGGATGTATCTTTCTTCCAAATAAAGCTTCTTTAAAAAATATCTTGCTAATTTTTGCTGAGGTGGGGATTGGAAGTTGTGATTCTGAGAACAAAATCAGTTGCTCTAAGTCTTTTGTCATTTGAAAATTTATGAGATATAGTGAAGATATATTATACAAAAATTATTATCGTTATTATTATTTTTTAGGCTTAAATGAATTATTTATATAAATGTTAGCCTATCTCTTTAGCTATACATAAACGTTAGGGTTGATCAATTTTATGACAGTTTACAACATGCAACCTTGGAAATGAATGATTGTTTTATGGCAGTAGCTAGCTTTCCATTATGAGTAGCCAAACCACGCCTGTGGCTTCTCAAGTTTCTGTTTTTCTGTAGAGAATGCTAATTTTATAGCAATTTAGTCTCATATGATGGCTAGCTGGCTTCTTACTCTTAGAGAATTTGCTCCAACTTGTCAATAAAGTCAAGTATCACTAATTGCTGTTTAAGTGAAACTTAAAGCTTTGAGTTCCTGGACTCAGTTTAGGTAGGAAATTGTCAGTTTCAGCCAACAAAGTCAACATTTTTCTTAGAAAACTAATTCTGTTCAGCCCCTTTCCCTCCAAAGGAAGATATTTATCGTCTACTTTAGAAGTAAACGTTTAACCAAGTGTTTGTGGAGTAATATTTCTTTCTTTTTTTTGTGTGTGGGGGGTCCGGTTGTGGGGCCTGAACTCTGGTCCTGGGCACTGTCCCTCAGCTCTTCAGCTCAAGGCTAGGGCTCTACCACTTGAGCCACAGTGCCACTTCCGGCTTTTTCCTTTTTGCTTATGTGGTGCTGAGGAATCGAACCCAGGACCTTATGCATGCAAGGCAAGCGCTGTACCACTGAGCCACCTTCCCAGCATTTCCAAGTACTTTAAATAGCGAAACAATGATAAAATTGCAAACATATATAAATCACTATACTCCCCTGCTTATATTCATCCTTATACCTTATAAAATCCACACTACTTTTACTGAGCTCATCCTATTTCTTAGAATTGTTGCTTGGGCATGGATCTTTGTTTTGGGGAAGCAAAAGAGATCTATGCACTCCTACCTCCAGTAGTCATTTCTAACACCTCAGTGAAACAACTATGGTACATTTTGAATGCTGGAGACTTCTTTTATGTTTCCATATGTTTTGTGTGTGTGTGTGTGTGTGTGTGTGTGTGTGTGTGTGTGTTTAATACAAACATACATTTTTTTTTAATTTTAGGAAATCTCACAGAATTGCTCAAGTGGCCTTGAACTCTTAATTCTCTTACCTCAGCCTCTCCAGTAGTTGGGATTTCAGGTGTGTGGCACCATGCCTAGACCCCATCTTGAGTTTTAATTTTTGAGAGCCAGAGATACATTAAATATCACATTTCATGTGATCATCTCTATTGCACATGAATTGGCAGTAGGAGACAAACTACATTCTTTTAACTTGAAAGCTATATTTTAAATTGAAAATAAGACATTTATTTTAAATTGAAAATAAGACAGTTATTTATTTTAAATTGAAAATAAGACAGTTATTGACTGTTTTGGTTATATAATTTTGACTATTCCTTCCTGTATTCTTAGTTCTTCATTAATATGGGTAGATTTTTTTTAAGTGGCATAGATTTGCTCTGATATTTCAGTGAGGTGATTAGGAACAGTATGATAGAAAGTGTAGAAACAGGAAAGTTATAAAAGAGAGTTGATGGAAATAAAGGGGTAGGGGATATAGTTCAGAGGAAGATACTTCTGTAGAAGGTATAGGTCCTGGGGTTGATCCCCAGTACAACACAAAAAAGAAGGAAAGAAGGAAGCAAGGCAAGGAAGGAAGGAAGGAAGGGAGGGAGGGAAAGAAAGAAAGAACAGAAAAGGGAAGAAAGAAAAGAAAGAAAGAAAGAAAGAAGGAAAGAAAGAAAAAGAAAGAAAGGGAGGAAGGAAGGAAGGAGGAGATAAGAAGGCAAGAGCAGGAGGTACTCATTTTTATTTTTTAAATGAAAGTAGTTGAAGAAAATGAAGCAGCCACAGAGCCATCCTGCTGTTGAGAACTGTAATTGCAAATTACTTTGGTATAATCCTCATCTTTATGAACCTATTATACAATTGAATATTTATTGTGAATTATCCAAAATAACTTACAATTTTTAATAAAGCAAGGAAACCATTTACACAGTGTCTACAGAGTTTTATTTGGTTAGATGCAGTGACACATGCCTATAATCCTAACAACTCAGGATGGTGGTTCATCCTGAATGGGAGGATGGGAGGATTTTATTCTTTGATGGGCATTGAAATACTCTTCCAATGTATACATAGGCCAAATTTTCTTTCCGTTTTCCCTCCCTTCCTTCCTGCTTCCCTCCCTCTTTCACTCTTTCTTCTTTCCTTCCTTCCTTCCTTCCTTCCTTCCTTCCTTCCTTCCTTCCTTCCTTCCTTCCTTCCTTCCTTCCTTCCTTCCTTCCTTCCTTCTTCTCTCTCTCTCTGTCACTGTTGATCATGGGATGGGCATGGGGTTTGAACTTAGGGCCTGGGTACTTCCCTTGAACTTTTTTGCGCAAGGCTGGCATTCTACCACTTTGTGTCACAAGGCCACTTCCAGTTTTCTGTTGGTTAATTGGAGATGAGTCTCATAGACTTTTTTACCCTCACTGTCTTTAAACTATGATTCTCATATCTCAGCCTCCTGAGTAGCTAGGATTACAGGTGCCCAGCAGGCCATATTTTCTTTACCTATCCATCTCTACTGGAAAACATTTATGTTGCTTGCATATCTTGTCTATTGTTTGTACTGCTGGAATAAACTAGAGGGTAGATGAACTCACTAGCCGTGATTTTAGCCTTTGTATGTCCCATACCTGTTAACATTCTTTAAAAAAAACACAAAAAGCTTTCAATCATATGCAAATACTGGCCCTTAATGAAAAAAGTAATGAACTCCTTTTCCCTAAAGATTTATTATAATTTATACAGAGTTCAGAATTGTGTGTGTCGGGGGGCCAAGTCTGGCCTTGAATTTATAATCTTACCTGACCCAGCCTCTTGACTGTTGGGATTACAGGTAAGAAGCATTATGACTGATGAAGTTCAGAATTTAAATACAAGCCATTATATTGAAGTTTTGAAGACACTGGTTCTTAATGGGAATATTAGACTACTATAACCTCCCAAGTAACTGAAGAGTAGCATAAATATCTCTACTGGCACTCACTTAAAAATATCTTTAAGACAGGCGCCAGTGGCTCACACCTGTAATCCTAGCTACTCAGGAGGCTGAGATCTGAGGATTGGGGTTCAAAGCCAGCCAGGGCAGGAAAGTCTGTGAGACTCTTGTCTCCAATAAACCATCAGAAAATTGGTAGTTGTGCTGTTGCTCAAGTGGTAGAACACTAGCCTTGAGCTGAATAGCTGAGGGATAGCGCTCAGGCCCAGAGTTCAAGCCCCATCACTGACATACCAAAAAACAAACAAACGAAAAACCCAAAACACAATTATCTTTAAGTAGTTGTATAAATTTAGTTGTATGAATTGATATATCCCTAATATATCAACTTGTCTAATTTGAAAAATAGTTAAAACAAAGAAGTTTCAATTAACATGTCACAGAGCCTGCTTTACTGGATTTTGTTGCTTAGTGACATATATAAATGAAGGGTACAGTTTGATTCTGAGTCCCCTTTATGCTGATAGACGCCATCATTTTATTTCATAAATTCTATTTCAGAAGATCTTAAGTGCATATTAAAGTTTGCAAATATGAGAAACACTTTTGTACAAGATTGATCACACACACAAAAAAAATTCTGCACCCATAATAGTTGCATGGCACAAAACAGTTCAGCTTCAAGGCCACATAGTATAGTGTCTATAATGCTACCTTAGGGTTAGTTTAAAGCACAGTTTGTACTTTTAGCAATGAAAATCTAAGTATAGTGATGGTCAATCTGATTTGTGTGTGTGTGGTGCTGTCTCAGAAGGGCCTTGTACATGCCAGGCCAGTGTTCTACTATTGAGCTAAATTCCCAGCCCACTTAGTCTGAGTTTAAAATTTTAATTAATTAATTAATTTTTTACAGATCCAATCCATCTGTGGAACTTATAAACATCTTTTAGAAGTGGAGTCATTTTCTGTACAATGAAGTCAACAACTTTATTTAAGCAAGTGTTTGCATGGTTCTGACTCATCTGCAATGGTTCACGAAGCTTGAGATCTGAGAATACAGGGATTTCAGTGATGACAATATGACTAATAGCAAAGGAAGATCTATTACTAATAAAACAAGTGATGGTCCAAGTAGCGGAGGAAGTTTGGTAGATTGGACTTTAAACTTAAATACAATTCAGTCTGATAAGTTCTTAAACTTAGTGTTGAGTATGGTCCCAGTAATTTACCAGAAAAACCAGGAAGATAGGCACAAAAGAACAAATGGCATTTGGCAAGATGGATTATCAAATGCAGCACCAACTTTGAGTAACAGATCTGAGCAGCACATGGAGTATCACAGTTTCTCTGAGCAGACTTACCATGGCAATAATGGGCATACACCTTCAAGCTGTAACCAGAAGTATGATGACTATGCCAACTACAATTACTGTGATGGAAGGGAGGCTTCTGAAAGTACTGCCATGCTACAGGAGGAAGATCTGTCTAGTGAGGGTGGTGAAGATGTCATTGTGGAAACAACTCCCAAGTTGCCAAAGGAATCCAGTGGCATCATGGCATTGCAGATTCTTGTGCCATTTTTGCTAGCTGGCTTTGGCACAGTTTCGGCTGGCATGGTTTTGGATATAGTTCAGGTGAGTTTATACCTTTAACTGCACTGCCTCTTTATCATTTCATTCCTGATCAAAATGCTTTATGGAGGTTTTGAATCCCAAACATTTTTTATTTTTGTGGAGTCAGGTCTAGACTCCAGGCTTGGTGCATGTTAAACAAGTGTTCGGCCACTGAGCTACATCTCCAGTTCTGTAAAGGTTTTTAGAATTTAAAATGAGTGTTTGATACTACATTGTATGTATATACCAAAATTCATTATTCTCATTGGTGTTCTAATAGATATCCTTTTAAGCATAGCTTTATGTATTTAACTGTTATTTTCACAGTTTCATAGATTAAAAACATGAAATGTCTGGGCATTAGAATATGAATATTTATTTCCAGTATTGGAGTTTGAATTCGGGATCTGGGTGATGTCCCTTAGCTTCTTTGCTCAAGGATTGAGCTCTACTACTTAAACCATAACTCCCTCTCTAGGCTTTTGCTGGTTAGTTAGAAATAAGAGTCTCCTGAATTTCCTGTCCAAGCTTGTTTCTAACTCTGATCCCCAGATCTCAGCCTCCTGAGTAGCTAGGATTACAGGCTTGAACTACTGGCACCTAGCTTAACACTGGATATTCGTGATCTTTTTCATTTTTTGCCAAACTGGAGGAACTATTATTATTTCTGAATAGAGGGTAAAGAGGTGGTTTATGCTTTTTCTTTCCACTAGATTTCCAGTTTCTTTCATTATTAAATTATCCCTTATGTGAGAAAAACTGTCTTTTCTATCAAAGTATATTGCTTTGACTTGGTGGCTTAGCTCTTTTTAGGAAAAGAGGAACTGCTTTGGGATAAGGAAGGATTTTTTTCTTGTCCTGTAGCTTGAACTCTGGGCCTGGGCAGCTGTCCCGGAGCTTCTTTTGCCCAAGGCAAGTGCTCTACCACTTGAGCCACAGCACCACTTCCAGCTTTTTCTGTGATTAATTGGAGATGAGTCTTTCCTGCTTTCCTGCTGGGACTGGCTTCAAACTATGATTTTCAGATCTCAACCTCTTGAGTAGCTAGGATTACAGGCATGAGCCACCACCTGGCAAGGTTTCGTCTTAAACTGGTTTCTTTTCAAGATGGAATTAAGACAAGCCCAAGACTGTTCAAGAAGTAGCAGAGGGTGTGGATATATTTTAAGATTACTTGTATACTGTTAACCTTATTTCAAAGTCAGTATGTATAAATTTATTTTACCCTATTCAAACTAACTAATCATGAGTAGATTTTGTGAACCTGAGCTCAACCAATCTGAGCAAAGGAGCAGAGCTTATTGTATTAGAGATAAATGGGGATGTGTGGGGGCAGCCTGCCTGCCTGCTCTTTGTGCTTGCTTGCCAGAGTTTTGGCTGATGGCGACCCTTCTGTAGAAGTAAATTTTGCCTTGCAGAGACAATTTTTGTGTGTGTGTCTATTGTTGTGACTCCAGTGATTCTTGGAGAGCATATTTACAACATTTAAGACAGGTGCAATGAACCATTATACATGGCTGAGCTCATGCTTCTAAAGTTGAATCATGTAAGTGTCTTAAACTGGTAACAGATAAAATATTTTCATGAATTATGTCTGGCATTTAATTTTAAAAATACTACATATCTCCTAGGTTCATTGTGAATATTAACTGAACTAGATCTAAAGAAACTGCCCAAGGCAATCAATGAGAGTGAGAGTTAGAGATTGTTAGCTTTTATTACACTTGCATCCATCATCATCATCATCATCATCATCATCATCATCATCATCATCCCTATCATCTCTACATATTGGGCTGTCTTCTAACCAAGATCTTTCCATCTTCACTTTCTGTGTTGCCTGGATTACAGGTATGGCAACTATGCCTGGCATTCTCCAATATTTTGTAAGGTACATCCTTAGTTGAGATGAACCTTGGAGGGATTTCCTTTGTGAATTCTTCATAGCAAGATTTTTTTTTTTTTGGTCAGTCTTGGGGCTTGAACTCTGGGCCTGGGCACTGTCCCTGAACTCTTCAGCTCAAGGCCAGCACTCTACCACTAGAGCCACGGTGCCACTTCCAGTTTTCTGGTGGTTAATTGGAGATAAGAGTCTCACAGAGTTTCCTGCCCAGGCTGGCTTTGAACAGTGAGCCTCAGATCTCAGCCTCCTGAGTAGCTAGGATTATAGGTGTGAGCTACTGGCACCTGGCCATAGCAAGATTTTTTTTTTTTTTGGTCTGTGTGGGGCTTGAACTCTGGGCCTGAGCACTATCCCTCATCTCTTCAGCTCAAGGCAAGCATTCTACCAATTGAGCCACAGCACCACTTCAGTTTTCTAGTGGTTTATTGGAGATAAGAGTCTCATGGACTTTCCTGCCCTGACTGGCTTTGAACCAGAGATCCTCAGATCTTAGTCTCCTGAGTAGCTAGGATTACAGGTGTGAGCCACTGGCACCCAGCTTCATAGCAAGACTTTAAAAAAGATTGTTCTGATAAGCATTTCCAAAGAATTTCTTTGAAACAAGTTGTTTTAGAAAAAACAGATTTTTTTTTCTCACCTGTCTTGGTGTTAGTGACTAGATATATACTCTTGTTACTTTTTTGGCATGAAGGTAATATGTTCATAAAGTTTCCTACTGAGACAATCACCTCTTATCATTTGTTAAAAATCACTTGTGTTATTAAGATATTACTATACTCTTTCAATTCATAGCGTACTTTCCTGTCTGTCACTCTCCTTGTTAAACCTCTAATGGCTAGACTTGGTGGAGATTATCTTCATTTTATAAACAAGGACATTAAGATCTGAAAGATAAGCTGGATTGCCTTGCTGGGTAGGCTCAGGTTTATGCCTAAAGGCACACATTTAATTTCCAGTTTGGAGTTATTTTCTTTATCCTGTATTCAGTACCCTCTTAGCCCTAAAATAGGAACCAGAACATGGGCCTATTTAGAATTCCTGAGGTCAACTCTAAGTCCTGGGGTTTGAATCCAGGGCCTTACTTACATTTGCTGGATAAGTGCTCTACCACTTGAGCCATACTGTCACCCTTTATTCTTTATTTATTTTGGGGATAAAGTTTCTCTTTTGTGGGCAGTCCTGCTTAGACCATGGTCCGCTTCCCCATGTAGCTGGGATGACAGGCACAGGACACCATACCCAGCTTTTGTTAGTTAAGATGGAGTCTCACCAATTTTTTGCTTAAGATGTCCTTGAACTTAAATCCTCCCAATCTCTGGTTTCTGAGTACCTGGAATTCAGGTATGTACCACCACCTAGCCTTAAGTTCTTTCTTTTGACTTTGGGAATGTCATTTAACCTTTCTGAATCTTTATTTCTTCATTTAGGAAATGAGGTAATAATATTAATGCCATTGTTGTAAGTAGTGTTGGAACTTATTCTAATCCAAATGATTTGGTTCCAGGTCCTGTGCTCTTAACCACTAGGTGTATTAACTGTTGCCTTTATAAAGTGATAGTTGGGAGTGGAGGTTCCTACCTGTAATCCTAGCACTAAGGAAACACAGACAGGGCATTGTAAATTTCAGCTGAGTTATATAGCAAGGCCCTGTCTCAAAAAAAAAAAAAAAAGTAAGTGCTGTTGAGTGCTGGTGACTCAAGCCTATAATCCTAGCTACCCAGGAGGCTGAGATATGAACATCACAGTTTGAAGTCCGCCCAGGCAGAAAACTCTGAGAAAGCCTTATCTCCATTAATCACAAAAAGCCAAAAGTAGAACTGATAGCTGAAGTGGTAAAGTGCTAAGTGTGATCAAAAGTAGCTCAGAGATAGTGCCCAGGCTTTGAGTTCAAGACACACACACACACACACATACACACACACACACACCTCAAGTAGTAAAGATGTAGCTCAGTGACAGAGTGCTTATAGCACTAGATTTGATCCACAGCATGACAGAAAAAGAGTTTAGGCTTATGTAGCATGTGAATGTAGAATGGCAACTGTCACTCCAACTGAGTCTTCTTGAGTAGCTGAGAGCTTCAGAGATCAAGAGATTGAGATGATACTAAATGTTCACTAGTTACCTGTGTAATCCTTCAAAACATGGATGCAAAGTTTGAAAAATAATTGTTTTAAAGAAATGTCTTTGTTTTGAGCATTAAAAAAAGACTGTCCAGGAAGTGGCGGTGTAGCTCAAGTGGTAGAGCGCTCGCCTTGAGCTGAAGAGCTGAGGGACAGCGCCCAGGCCCAGAGTTCAAGCCCCACGACCGACACACACAAAAAAAAGACTGTCTAACTTTTTTGTTTTCATGTTTTTACAGCATTGGGAAGTATTCAAAAATGTAACAGAAGTTTTCATTTTAGTTCCTGCTCTTCTTGGCCTCAAAGGGAACTTGGAAATGACATTGGCATCCAGATTATCCACGGCAGTAAGTTTTCTCTTAACTCAGTTTATGTATATCACTCATACTAGTCTCTCTTTAAGCAGAAGAGCTTGTGTCAGGAGCTTGTTTTCCTCTGTCTGAACCTGGGAGCTATGTTAAGCAGGTTTGACTCACAACATTCTGAAGCTCTCAAGGTTATAATCTGAGTTTCACAGGCTTTACTTTATCACCAGAGGGAGTAATATACTTGCCCCTTTTAATTCCAAGCATTCTAGCAATTACTGTCATGTTTAAGATATGGGGTGAGGCAGAAACTGAGATTTTCCTTGGTTCTATGGCTGGTAGAACCGTATTTAAACATTTTGTGATGTGAATGTAATACATGTTTACTGTGAAAACAAGAAAAGAGAAAAGGGGCTGGGAAGGTGGCTCAGTGGTAGAATGCTTGCCTTGAATGCATGAGGCCCTGGGTTTGATTCCTCAGCACCACATAAAAAAAGCCTGAAGTGGCGCTGTGGCTCAAATGGTAGAGCAATGCTAGTCTTGAGCTGAAGAGCTGAGGGGCAGCTCCCAGGCCCAAAGTTCAAGCCCCATGATCGACAAAAAAAAAAGAAAAGGTATAAGGAGTAAAATCTAAAACTACCTCTGCTTCTCTACCTACAAACAAATACTATTAATATTTGCTATTCTTTTTTCTTTATTGGCTGGGAATATAGCTCAATGATAGAATGCTTGCCTAGCATATGCAAGGTCCCAACTTTGACTCCCAGTACTTCCAAAAAAAAAAAAAAGATTCTCTGTACTTGACTATCTGGACTTATATATGTCCAGATAGTATGTCATAATGCATATGCATACTATGTACCCTAAAAGAACTGGAATCCTACATTTTCTTTTTTTATAATGTGTAATTCTGACTTCCAAATATATCATGTTTGCTTTTCTGTATCAATAAATGTAGGTCCATGTCATTTTTTTGGCTATGCACTTTTATATCATATAAAAATACCCTATTTAATTCATTATCTATTACTGAATATCTATCTATCTATTTATCTAGACTCTAATGTTCTGCTATTACAAACAATAATGTGATATATAGTTTTTATTTTTGGTGGCGGTACTAGAATTTGAACTCAAGGCCTCTCACTTGCTAGTAGGCACTCTATTCTGAGCCACACCTTTAGCCCTTTTACATACTTGTTATTTTGAAATAGGGTCTCTATTTTGCCTAGATACATGCCTTTATTTCAGTCCTTCTATTTTACTTATCCTGCTGTAGTTGAGATACCAGGCATGAGCTACATGCTCAGCTTCTTCCATTAAGACAGAGTCTTATGAACTTCTTTTTTGGCCTGGGCTGGCCTGCAACTACAATCATCCTGACTGTAGTTGACCTTAGCCTTCCGTAAAGGTAGGATGACAGGCATATACCACTAAACCCAGCTTTTGGTTGCCTCAAACTAGATCCTTTCAGTCTCAGCCCCCCCAAGTATCTAGGAGTGCAAGCATTGCACCTAGCTTATGATGAATATTCTTGTAAATACTTTTTTATTTATTTAGAATATATTATAGGATATATACTTTTAAATCTTTAGCTACATAAAGCTCTCACTCAAAAGGTTCAAGAGATTAACATGTTTAAAAATACTGCCTTTGTCAGTGTTCTGAGTTTGGTTTAGAAATGCAAAAGGGCATCATTATATCACCATAACACTCCTTTAGGATTCACCATTGTGGAAACAAATGATGGTAATAATAGTAAGCCGAGTATGAAAAGAAGCTTATACACTTGAAAGACCAAAGTGCTGGCTCAGATTTGTATGTTTGCTCCCTTTTTTGACATGAAAGAAGAATGATAGTAAACTGAGTATGGAAAGAAACTTATGTACTTGAAAGACTAAAGTTAGCTGGCACAGATTTGTATGTTTGTTCCCTTTTTTGACATGAGTTCCTGTGTGACTTGTGCATATCTACAGTAGCAGAAAGATGAAATTTTACTAGTAAAATTTCAGATGGCAGAATTTGGAGCTAACATAGCAGGTAGAAGTTTATGGGAGACTTTCATAAGAACGAACCCACCAATCTGAACATAGATTCTCAGCTGCAGAATTCTCCATAGATGCAAAAGATAGCCCCAAAGGGCTAGGTTAAAAATCAAGAATTGCTAGCCAGAAGAACCAGGTGGGGAGCTGAGCTGCTCTGCATTGTGGAAGAGAATCACATTGAGTGAAGAAGAGTCTATGGCCTGCTAGAAGGAATATTCAGAATTTTGGGAAGAACATTGACAGTATCCAGAGTCACTACAGCATGTTATTGACACTGTCAGTTTGTAACAAACTAATTAGACATGGAAAGAAACAAAGAAGTATCACCAAAAATCATGACTTATATCTAGCCAATGAGAAGGGACTTCCAGTGGGCCTGATGTTGAGTTTAACAGTAATTCCAAGCAACTGGTATAAATATATTCAAAGAACTAAAAGAAAATATATTCAGAGTTAAATCAATATTTTAACGAGCAAATTCATGGTGTCTCTGCAACCTATTGGCCTCTTTCTACTACTTTAATATTAATTTAAATTATTGCAAGCTTCACAGAAGTCTTCATCAGATCATGCCCTCTTCTATCTTATCATTTTACAATGGCTTGGTGTCTCTGGCTAAGCACCATTAGGTCAACTAATTGTATAAAAGTAGAACATCAAAAGTAGTGATGCTTCTCCCTCTCCAATTCTGAAAACACCTAATGAGTTCATATCATCCTAAATTACCAGACATAGAGTAGGTGGCACAGGTTTTACACAACAGGAGGCAAAAGTTGCCATAACCCCACTCCGATCTCAATGCACAACGTATAATACTTGTTCTCTCCCCCAAATTTAGGTCAATTTCTCTTTATTATTACATTTTAATTGGATCCTAAAATTATTTTACATTATACATTGTTTTAATTTGAAATCATTTTGTTAGGTTAAAAGGTTGCTCATTCAGAGACTTCTACATATGGAAGGGACATAGAGAATGTGATCTTCATTTATAATAGTTAGGTTTAACAGTTGAAAGTTATACTGCCAGTCTGGTTTAGCTCAGAAAACAGAGCCATGGTATATGCTGCAACTCTATGGAATTAAGTAGAGGAAATGAAGCTTACGCAGATGGGAGGGATGTTGCAGAAGACAAGACCAGTGGCTGGAGAGTCAGACAAATGACCTGAAGCTCTGGAACAGGGCTTGAGGCCTAACATGGTATACCTCTAGCAGAGGCTAGAGGCCTGTCCTGTCTGACTTCCTATAACAAGCAATGAGTTCTGCTATCTATGTCCTCCAATTTTTAAGAAAATTCCTGTCACTGACAGACTGCAGCCTCTAGCTGGAGAGGCAGACTATAGCACCAGGCCTTAGAAAAGGCTGGAGGTGATGGTATCAAGTAGATTCTGGCACAGCAGCATCCCTATGTCATACCATTCACTCCTTCTGCCACCCCACCTTCCTTGAGTTCTTCCTAGACCCTGTTTACTCATGAGCAATTCTGGAGTGTTGACTTCTTTTTTTGTTGTTGTTGGTGGTGGTGTGGGGCTTGAACTCTGGCCCGGGGCACTGTCCCTCAGCTCTTCAGCTCAAGGCTAGTGCTCTTGAGCCATAGTGCCACTTCCGGTTTTCTGGTGGTTGATTGGTGATAAGAGTCTGGCTTTGGTCTGGCTTTGAACTGTAATAATCAGATCTCAGCCTTCTGAGTAGCTAGGATTACAAGTGTGAGCCACCAACATCCAGCAGTGTTGACTTCTTATACTTTATGCAGTGGTTTATTGAATCATCTTAGATTGTTTCCTACAGCTATAGACATCTTCCTAAGAGTTATTTTAAAATAACACTAATTTTCCTGTGCCTGCTTAAGTTCTAAACCTAAAGCAGGTTCAGTTTTCAAATATTTCTTATACTTTATCACTCACTTGAGCAGAGCCCCAGACTATTAGAGCTACAATAATTTATTTTCAGGCTTAGAAAATAAATATATAAATAAGACTGCACAAACAATTACTCTGAGATAGTGAGAAATCTCACAATTTGCATTTATTGGATACTTTTTTTGGAGACTGCAGAACAAAATCTTTTTTCCAAGTTGAGAGAGAAAAGGTTGACACACCACTTACCCTGCTTGATTGAATAGTGTGCTCATGGGAAAAAAAAAACTACTCAGAAATAATAATCCTTATCTATCTGCTTCTTTTTACCCATTCATTTGTAAGCTTTTTTCCCCCTAACATTTGAAAATCCTCCATGGTAAAATAGATGAATAATTGAAATCCAACTCAGTATAAAATTTTTACTAATGAACATTTATTGCTTTCCAAGTGGCTGCATTAGAAACACTTGGCAGATTTAGATGTATACTTTTTGAATCCTAAAGTAGTTGAGAAATATGATGTTGTTCATAGAGCAACTGATTATGTGACTAATAATAGCCTCATTTTGGAGAATATTCTTCACTTTAGTGGAAATGTGTATACATTTTAATAGATGAGGTACATGATCAAAATTTATTTGTGAGCTGAATGTATTTTAGTTGCTAACAATTTTAGTCATGATTCAAATATAACTTATGTACAAATGACTGATTTGTTTATATCTTGTTTTCTGGTCAATAATTTTTCAAATTACATTAGTTATTTTATAACATGGAATTAAGTGCCAGCAGCTCAAGATTATATAATCACTTTTACTGGGCCTCAGTACACAAATTTGGCATGTTAGGATCATAGCTGATGATGTTAGTTCTAAAACAGCTCAGCATTGGGGGGGAGGGGGAAGGCTGGGAAGGGATGTGAAGGGTAAACCAAAGGAGGAGGCTGCAATGCTTGGTAAGAAATGTACGCATTATCCTGCCCATGTAATTGTAACCCCTCTGTACAGTATGTTCACAAATAAAAAATAAATAAATAAATTAAAAAAAAATAAAACAGCTCAGCATACATAGGGGTAATGGTAACAGATCCACTAGTTCCTGAAAGCTATTAAAGTGAAAAAAAGTTTCAGCCATGCTCAATACTAGATGCCAATCTGGTAATAAAGTAGGAATTATATTCAAAGTACAATTTTCACTTGTCAGATTTACTGAAGACTCATTTTATACTTTAAAACTTCATAGCCTATTTAAAAAGAGCAGATAGAATATAGATTACTAGATTCATGGAAATATCCTCTTTCACAGGTAAACATTGGGAAAATGGACTCACCAATTGAAAAGTGGAACCTAATAATTGGCAATTTGGCATTAAAGCAGGTAAGTAATGCAGTATTTCTTTATAGGTCTTAGTACTTCCTCTGGGAATGGAGTAAATTTTAGTGCTATGAAGTTTACCATTTACTTATTTTAAGAGACACAAAAATACCTCAAAAAGTGATAATATCAGGTGGGTGCTAGTGGCTCATGCCTATAGTCCTAGCTTCTTAGGAGACTGAGATCTGAAGATCACAGTTCAAAGCCTACCCAGGTAGAAAAGTACCTATGAGACTCTTTTTTTTGGGGGGGGGAGTCCGGTCGTGGGGCCTGAGCTCTGGGCCTGGGCGCTGTCCCTCAGCTCTTTAGCTCAAGGCTAGCACTCTACCACTTGAGCCACAGTGCCACTTCTGGCTTTTTTTTTCTGCTTATGTGGTGCTGAGGAATTGAACCCAAGGCCTCATGCATGCAAGGCAAGCGTTCTACCACTGAGCCACCTTCCCAGCCCCCTATAAGACTCTTATCTCCAATTAGCCACTCAAAAACCAGAAGTGGCACTGTGGTTTATAGTGGTAGAGCATTAACCTTCAGCAAAAGAGGTTAGGGACATCTCCAGGCCCTGGAGCAAGCCCCACAACCAACTGAAAAAAAAAAACGATGATATCAATGGATACATCTGACCTCGGAAAGTTACCATATTTCTAGAAACTGGTCAAATTCTTCCAAACATGAAAAAATACACTCTATAATATAGAAAAATATATATAATACTTCATAACTATAACGTAACCCAGAATTTTTGTTAATATTTATACAAACAGCTGTTTAACATCTTATTGTTTAGGTGCTATCTTATTACTTTTATGATATTTTTTTATTTTAAAACAGAGTTGGACTTAAGTGGTCCTCCTGCCTAAGCCTTACAAGTCTAGAACGATAGGCATGCACTGCTATGTCCCACTTATTTTTTTTTTGAAATATATTGTTTAGTTAAACTGAGCTCGGTTGATATATTTTGGCCAGCCATTTGTTTTTCCTTAATTGTTAAGTTATTAATGTTAATGTAAATGAATACATTCAGTTACTGATTACATATGAACCCAGCCATGAATTTTATATAATCAGTGTCACTTTCTAGTCTCAGGATCTCAGGTGAATATCTCTTCAGCCCTCTTCCATACTCTCCCAGCTCTAAGCTCAACACTGCTGCTACCTTCTGTGCTTACCTACCTAATAATGTGAGCTTAGGGAAAGTTAGATAGATATTAAACTGAGAGATAGTTGTAGGAATATACTCTCATATAATGCATTTCAAAGATACATCCATGCAAATGATTTTAAGATTGCGGGGTTGGAAATAACAAGGGCTAGGATCTAATCTCTGCTCCAACATTACCACCTCTATAACTTTTACCAGTTTACATGACCTTTTTGGGCTTTATTTTCATCTTTTAGGTCATAGTATCATTTTAAAGAAGACTTAGTATCCTTTTAGTTTAAACTTATTTGAACATATGTAGAGGTGATCATCAAAACATCTGATAACTGAATTAGGGATGTAGCTCAGTGGTAGAGTACTTGCCTAGGGTGCAAATAGTCCTGAGTTCAATTCCCACCATCACACAAAACCAAAAGAAGACAAGACTAAAACCAGACAAATCTTCCTCCCACTAGAGTACTATATATGATACATACAATTTTTGAAAATATATTTAATTGTATTCTTTAACTACCTTCAACTCTTTAATGAGAATTGTAACTCATAGTTAAAACTATGTTTTAAGTATAAAAATGTCCATCAAATTATTCTAGCAATTAACATCTCAGCTTCTAATAGTCCTAGCACCCCCCCTTACCTGGTTATATTCTCAACCTTGTTGGTCTGCATGATCACAAGAGAGGGATTTGCTGGTCCTAGCTGCTGCAGTTGAGTGCCTGTGTCTGCCTCACTCCCACAAGAGTATATAAAAACTGGGAGCCCCAAGCAGCAACCTCAAGACATCACTGGTGCCTGCTGGTGAGGTGGTAATTGGTTGGAGCCATTACCAGTGGACAAAAGCAAGGAGAGAAGGTGGAGGGGTGGGTGGAGCAGGGAAAAGGTTATTCTCTTCCAGAGAAGTTACCTACTAAAATTGTGAACAAGACGTGTTGGATGTTTACTAAAATAATATTACTAGATCTTTTCCCATACTTGCCGGCAGCAAATCAGGGCAGTTTGGGAGCCCACTGTCTGAAGTAATGTTAATCCTCAAATATAGCTTCTTAAAAAGGTGATGCAGCGCAGTTACTATACGTACTTTCTCCTGACTTCTTGTATGTAATGCTTGCATAATATGTTTTACAGATTACTAATTGGTTTGGATTTTGTCAAAATATTTCCAGGTTCAGGCAACAGTGGTTGGGTTCCTAGCAGCAGTGGCAGCGATTGTGCTGGGCTGGATTCCAGAGGGGAAATACTACCTCAGTCACTCCATCCTTCTGTGCTCCAGCAGCGTGGCGACCGCCTTCATTGCATCCCTTCTGCAGGGTGAGCAAATAAATGACTCACGGCTGATCTTCCTCCATGATAATTACTTCTATTTAACTGGTACTTCTTCCTGACCAAAAATGGCAGGAAAACAATGCTATTGCAAACTTTCAAATCGTATTTCAGATACATTTTCATATTATTATTTATGCTGGAAACAGGCTTTTTGAGACTGGCTTCTGGCTTTAGGCACTCAAGTATAGTTTCCAAATAAGATCAGGGAATTTGACTCTGTAAGTTAAATTCCTTCAGAACCTTCTTCCTGGAAATCATGTAGGGTACTTATTGGCTTGTCACTTGAGTACTAAGTGTAATAATAATAATATCTCTCTATGAAACAACTTTAAAGTCTCAACTTTTCAGATTTTTTGTTATTTTTTAAATTTTTTTTATTTTTTTTTTATTTCAGATTTTTTTTTTTTTTTTTGCCAGTCGTGGGGCCTGAATTCTAGGCCTGGGCACTGTCCCTCAGCTCTTCAGCTCAAGGCTAGTGCTCTAACACACGTGAGTCACAGCACCACTTCTGGCTTTTTTCTGCTTATGTGGTGCTGGGGAATCAAACCCAGGGCCTCATGTATGCAAGGCAAGCACTCTACCACTGAACCACCTTCCTAGCCCCTAAAGTCTCAAGTCTCAATGAACAAATAAACCATAACCTTCCTCAGATCAAACCAGTTAAATACCTTCCTTGTTTCTGTGGCATTACAAATATAGCATATTGTTGGCTATAATGATAAAGAATAGAAGCTTTAAAAACGGTTTGCATTCAAACTTCTCAGCTAGGTTATTCCTCGCTCCCCTGTATGAACTTATCAGCTAGATTATTCCTCTTCTCCCAAAACTGTTTCTTTTTTGGGGTCAGGGCTCAATATGAAACCCAGGCTGGCCTTGAACTCACTGTCTTTCTACCTTAAGACTCCTAAATGCTAAGAGATGTAAGCCACCACACTTGACTATCTTCCTTCCTTCCTTCCTCCCTCCCTCCCTCCCTCCCTCCCTCCCTTTCCCCTCAGCCTCCTGCGTAGCTAGGATTATAAGTATCAGCTACCTGGTACCTTATGGTGACCTTCTAATTATTACAAATGAGGGAAATCATGCAGCCTATGTTTCTTTGGGTCAGGCTTACTTCTCTTAATATCATATTTATGACAAAGTTTCATACTTTAAGTAATGTGTATTTTAGTTTTATGATAACTTGAGCTTTTTGATCATCTTAATTTATGTACACTTTGTAGGTGAGACAACTGATACAAACAAGTAAGATGACATATCCAATTTCATCAGCTTGTTTGTAGCAGATTCAGAACTAAAATCCAAGTCTCCTCCCATACAGCTTTTTCTAACAGGCCTTGATCCTTGCAAAGCTTGCTTCCAGCTATGGCATTGTTATAGGAATACATCCTATATGGGTCCTGGTACTGGGGTTAAACTCAGGGTATTTCCTTGTCTGTTGCTCTACCATTGGCACTATGCTTCCAGCCCTGCTCTTTGCTTGTTAAGTGGAGATATTGTCTAGTGAACTTTTTTAACTAGGCTAGCTTCAAATCGTGGTCCTATGTATTTCATTGTCCGAGTATCTAGAAGTATAGGTATGAACCACTGACACCTAGCTCTACATAGATCTTTAAATGTATTCATTTGGAAAATAACATTTTTCTATAATTATATTTTGTTAGCTTACTGTTGGAATTTAAAAACTTTTCTGCCATTCTAGCTTCTTTTTTTCCCTTTGTTTTATTTATTTATTTTTGTTGGTCGCGGGGCTTGAACTCTGGGCCTGGGCACTGTCCCTCAGCTCTTTAGCTCAAGGCTAGTGCTCTAACACTTGAGCCACAGCACCACTTCCAGTTTTTTTTTTGCTTATGTGGTGCTGAGGAATCGAACCCAGGGCCTCATGCATACAAGGCAAGCACTCTATCACTGAGCCACCTTCCCAGCCCTCCTCTTTGTTTTAATGGTACTATGAATAAAGTAAGCCAAATGATAAAAACTTTCCAGAATACAAGATGTGAGGACATTATTTGATGTAATAGAAAAATTAATCTTTTGCAGATTTGGCTTTGTTGGTTAGAGTGAACAAAACCAAACCAAACATAATACACTGGTCTAGAGTGACAAACTGTGTGACTTTAAGCAAGAATTCAAGCACTACTCCCCAAGATCTGTTTTATTATCCATAAACTGAGTATGCTGGGATAAAAAACATTTATGGTAATTTTTCTTCTCAAAGTCTGGTGACCTTTTTCACAGGTATATTTTGTTGACTTATAGTTAGCATATGAATTAAACATTTAAATTTTTTAATGTGCTAACTATGAGTTTGACTGTAGATATTATCATTTTCTCCTATTTGATTCAAAAAATTAAACATCAAAAATGATTGTTGATATTATCATTTTCTCCTATTTGTATGATTCAAAAAATTAAGGATCCAAAAGCTTAAGTACATAATTACATTTTTCTCTTCTCTTGCAAATTTATAGACTGAAATTTTATAGACTATCTTTCACAAAGACTATTTGTTGTGTTCAGGCCTCTAGTGCTCAAAATTTAATTACTTATTGTTTCTTAATACTTTAATACCTTAAAAATAAAGCAAGAATTTCTTTTTTTTTGGTGGGGGGGTCCGGTCGTGGGGCCTGAACTCTGGGCCTGGGCGCTGTCCCTCAGCTCTTCAGCTCAAGGCTGGCACTCTACCACTTGTGCCATAGTACCACTTCTGGCTTTTTTTTTCTGCTTATGTGGTGCTGAGGAGTCGAACCCAGGGCCTCATTAAAGCAAGAATTTCTATGCTACATGTGAACAAGTACATTTTTATTGGTCTTCTCAGTTACTATGTGCATAAATAAAACTCACCTTACATTGATATTTTTATGCCTTACCTGAAGGTTAAATGTAAATCTTTGAGCTTGATACATGTATATTTGCATCTAATGTAGTGTGTATATGCTAAATTCAGAATTTTAGTTTTAATGTAATTTTATAGTAGCTTTTACATTATACATGAAACACTGAACTTCTCAAATCTTCCATTTTCTTGCCTTGGACTTTGTGGAAGGGCATCTTGCCAAAGCATTACAGTAAAAAGTGTTCTGTTTGCTTAATCAGCTTCTCTGAGCTGAATAACTAGAATTGACATGCTGTTTGTTTAGTCTATGTATTTCACTTTTGGGGGGAGTGATTTTCTGAATCATAACATTAAAAGTAATAAACCATATTTCTTTTAGGGATAATAATGGTTGGAGTTATCGTTGGCTCAAAGAAGACTGGTATCAATCCGGATAATGTTGCTACACCCATTGCTGCTAGTTTTGGAGACCTTATAACTCTTGCCATCTTAGCTTGGATAAGTCAGGGTTTGTACTCATGTCTTGGTAAGTTGGCTTTAAATTATAATTTTTATTCAGAATCTCTTTAAATAAATATTATTGCAGCAATGTTATGGATTCCATTTACCAATGAGCTTTTTCTCCCTAGCCAGAAACTGATACCAATAAGTAGCCTCATGACAATTAACAAAAGGGAAAAATAACACCATATAAATGATCCTAAATGCTGTGTGAGGTTGGACTTATTATGTGTATAATTCCTGATGAATACAGATAGAGTATTTATAGAGTCTAATGAATTGCTTTAATGCAAATTTGTTTTGTGGGACTGCTATCAATGACACATGAATATAATTGTGATTTCGATTGTGCTTTCAGTTTTTTAGATGGCAAAAAAGAAAAAGAAAACAAGTCCATAGTAATACAGGGGAAAAAACAGAGTTTACAAGCCAAGCCAAAAGCAAACATCTATTCATATTTTTACATATTTCTATAAGTTCTATACAGGTATATGGAATGAATACTTAGTTTGAAGAAGAGTCTCAAATATGTGTTCTTGAAACATATCTGAAAAGGTTCTATTTGACATCCTAAATCCCATGATTTTCTACAACTTTTGGAGATGTCAAGGGAAGCTTTAGTTAGTGTATAAAATTGCCTTAAACTATTTAATTTGTTACTTAAAGACACTATTCAGTAAGACTTGAAGTACATGTTCAGGGAACCCTTTTCTCATTGGGAAGATAAAGATGTATTCACTTGAGGTAAAGTACAGCACTGTAAGTGGTAATGACCTAAATATAGGATCTTGTCACCATAGTATCCAGGCTAATGCTCAACTCCCTTTTTTCCTTCTCAAAATGAGAGTTACATTTTTGAAGAGATAATTTTAAATCTGCTATAATCTTTATTTTGGGAGTAATAAACTGATTTTTCCTTCTCTAAATTACTATATAATTTAGGTTTGGATGTTGAAGTGTTATGGGAATTGAAATATTAGCTTATGACTAGTCAGCTAATGAGGCTTTTTCTTATTTTGTTTTGTTTTATTTTTTTGTTGGTTGTGGGGCTTGAACTCTGGGCCTGAGCGCTGTCCCTCAGCTCTTCAGCTCAAAGCAAGCACTCTACCACTTGAGCTACAGCACCGCTTTGAAGCTTTTCTTATACTTATTCCATTCACCACTCAAAGGTGGACGGACAACTGAAGAACAGGCTGTGGACTGAACTAGAGAAGAATTCCTGTCAGGCATGCTCACTGCTGCTTTCCCTAGCCTTTCTAGTTAGATAAGTCTTTCCTACTATGAGGAAGAGCTAAAAAGAAGAAAGGGGAAGAGGAAAAGGTTTTCCCCAACATTATTAAGAAAATAGAAATACAGAAATTGTGTGGATCTGTCAAAGAACATTAAAGTAGGAGGTGGGAACTGGCTGGGTGTAGTAGCTTATACCTATAACCCCAGCTTCTTGGGAAGTAGAAATGTGGAACACTTGAGTTCAAGTCCTACCAGAGCAAAAAATTAGTGAGATCTCCATCCTCAACACAAGTTTGGTTTGGGCGCACACATCTGGTCTCAGCTCCACAGGAAACATAAATAGGAGGAGTGAGATTCAAGCCTATCTGTTTATAAACATTGAAAACCTATCTTCCAAATAACTAAAAAACAAAAGAAGCTGAGAGTATATCTTAAATGGTAGCACACTTACCTAGAAAATATGAGGATATGAGTTCAATCTCTAGTAACATTACCCCCAAAAAAGAAAGAAAAGGAAACAAAAGAAATGGAAAGTTGGTGGCGGTTTGGGAATAAGTTCCTTGTGTACCTAAAATTCAAGAAAGTACTGTATATTTTTTACAGATTTGGGTACTTAATTATTATTAAGTTATTTGTAAAGCATTTCTCAATTGTTTGGTAAATACCAAAGCATCTCAGCAGTTGAAAACACAGTAGTTAAGAAAGAGTATGTCACTGAAGAATGTTACTATAAATAAATATGACAATTGTTATAATGATATAGGCTGTGTACTATAAAAATCCAGAAGACAGATCAAATGTGACTGATATTTAAATTTTTATTTTTTATGTTTTATAAATGATGAACTCTTATAAAAGTCTTCATTATAATATATTGTCTAAAACTTTTAATATTTGCAGCATTACATAGTGATGTATTAATACTTCAACTGGATCAAGGAATAAAGTAAAATGGAATGTTAGGATAATTTTGAAAAATAGTATTATTAAATATTTGTTTTGTTTTGTTTTGTTTTTTGCCAGTCATGGGGCCTGACCTCTGGGCCTGGGCACTGTCCCTCAGCTCTTCAGGTCAAGGCTAGCACTCTACCATTTGAGCCACAGCACCACTTCTGGCTTTTTCTGCTTATGTGGTGCTGAGGAATCGAACCCAGGGCCTCATGCATGCAA